CATGAAGGCCAGGGATACGCTGGATGATTAGACCAGAACTTTTTTTAATAGGCATTTAAATAATATTTTGAAACGTCAATGACTAACAAAATATATACAAAATTTATCTGCGCCCAAAGGGAGCTGTTTATTGGGTGAAACAGTGGTGGTGCCAGGGCAGGACTTAAAAGGGATTCGGTCCCTCTTACTTCCCCCAATTCACACCCATTTTTTTAAAGAGTAACTGATGTTCTCTCAAACTGATATAGAGAATGTACCAAAGTACATTTAGGAGAAGTTCGCAGCCTCACTTTTCAAGCAGACTGTGGATTGGATCGTTAGTCCCTACTATACGCAAATTTAGGGGCAGTCACCACTTCTAGGACAGGAAATAAGTTAAAGGGAGATTTGGGACTAGCTCTGAATAACAGGAGTAAACATAATATTTGAATTCTCAAAAGGGGAAGAGGTACTGATTCAATCACTCTGAAGATGATTTTGCCTACAAAAGCCAAGGACTTTAAATGAAATCCTCTCTAAAAGTAAACGCAATTGTAACACTTGATTTTGAGAATTCCTCTTTATTGTTTCCTGGTAGTTGCTTTGTCATGATAAATGTAGAAAGATATTAATGGATTGGGAGATGGGCCAGTATTATTAAAGTTATCCAAAAAAAACCCCCAGAGATGTGGGAAGGCAAGATGTCTATTTTATCCAGTGATATAATTCTGTGTGACTGAGTCAGAGGCAAAATACCAGCGACGACATGATGAAGCATTTTCTTTGCTCTGCTTGAGGCAGTGGAAGCCACTGCTTCTATTTCTAAATCTGCTGTATTATTCTCCTGCTCTGTAGGCATTTCCTCAACATCCTGGTGATAGAGTTGGTTCTCAGTTTTGTTTTTCAGACATTGGAAGTTGGGAGAGGCACAATGCTAATTTAGAGCACCTTTAGTTATTACTTATGTGCTCTTTTAAAGATGGTTTATCTACTTCATCTCCCCTTTGAAGTTGAAAATATTCTTATGTTTAAATAACATATATTTAAAATATACAGTTGAATAAAAAACTGAAATAGACTCCCCAATTACACATATAATAGCTACCTGCACAGTGTTTACCATCTCCTGTGTAGGGTGGGATACACCAGCAAACGTAGGATCCATTTCTGTTGATGCAGGAAGCATGCTCACTACAATCGGACCCAACTGCGCATTCGTCGACATCTAAAATGAAGACAGATCACAAATAGTAAAGCTCATTTTTCTTATTATCAAACATTTGTTTATACTTTTAAATCATTACACATCAGTGTGTAATGCTATTCATATTTTTATCAAATTTAAAAATAATAGTCATAATTGCATTGCAGATATACGAAAAAAGCTCTTTTTTGTTTAGGTAGGTTAAGTAGTTTATAGGTAGGCAAGTAGAAGAACAGGAAAAGATAAAGATACTCTTAATATGGAGCCTGGTAAAAATTTAAAACACGTTCGGCACCTCTATGGACAGCTGCTTTGCCTCCATGGTTTGCCCAGATCTTACTGGGATGAGATGAAGTTAACAAAGGAATGCATGAGAGAGGTCTCAGGAATTTGGGATGATTATCTCCCATGGAGCCTGACTAAACCAACACGGTAATTGCCAAGATTTATCTCACCAAGGCATGATGGTGAAATGCCATTCCAGCTCCCATTATCTGTACAGAACATCCTTGAATCTCCCAACAAATAGTAGCCATTGTTGCATTGATAGGTCACTGTGCTGCCAGCATGGAAGTCCTCAGCCGAGTAAAAGCCATTCTCCAAAGTGGGTGGCACCCCACAGCTAATGCCTGTAATGTGACCAGAAAGAATGCAACTACATTAGGGACAACATTCTCAAGGGACATTGTATGTATATTAAACCAGTAGTTAAGCATGAATTTTTCATTGTACACGAACATTAGATTAAGAGTGCCCTAGGGGCGGTAGCAGGTTGCAGCCATACCTGTGCCCTCAGCATCTAGCATATTGTTGGCTCACGGTAGGCATGCAATCTGTTCATTTCAAAAATATTTATGGAGGTCCTGCTACCTGCTAGACACTGTCCTATGTGCTGAGGTTACAGTAATGAGCCAAACAGACAAAATCCCTGCCTTATGAAGCCTCCTGTTTAGAGGAAGTAGAGAGAAAGAAACAGAGAAATCTACGTGTCAGGTGGGAATAGATGGAGAAACTTCCCTGGTTACCCTCCCTACAACAGACTTACTTCCACCCAACCCCCTCACCTTGTATTTCCCTACGTTGCTTTATGTTTCTTCACAGCCCTTACTTCTGACCCTTGCTATTCTTATTGCTATAAATAAATAATATTACATTTACATGTTATTTTCTGCTTCGGCTACTACAATGTAAACTCCATAAGAAGAGAGACTTTTTTCCTGCAACTGCTGCACCTCCAGAACTTAGATCAGTGTCCAGCACATACTAGGTACTTTAAAATTTTTTGAATAAATGAATGAATGGATGCACCCAACTCAAGAGATCTCTTCCTGTTTCCCCACCCAGAAATGAACCATCTCCCTTTGGGCTTCAGCCTTCATGGCTGGCTTTCTCTCCCACCCAGTTCCTTGTGCCACCTGGGGTGTATTCCCAGGTGGTGGTCTCTTTGGATTTCCATCTCCCACCTCCTTCACGGTGCCCAGCACATATGATTCATCGCACAAAGGAATTATACAATGAATACTTGCTATGCTTGCTACTGTGAAGTTGTCTAGCTTTTGTCAAGCTTTCCTGAAAAGTGTTTCTATGGCTTCAATATTTTTCAAGAGCTACGGAAATGCCTTCAACAGAGACAGCTCACGTTCACAGCGAGGGAGTGGTTGTGTCCACTGTCCTTGGTTCAGACAGTACTGCACAGGGTTCCCAACCATCTGGAAGCCTGGATCACAGAACAGGTTGATTTTGGAGCCTGGCTTTAAGTCCGCTGATGCAGTTCGCAGATGCGGTACTGATCCTTCTAAAGGTGGGCAATCTGAGGGCCAAGAACACAGGGACAGAGCTGGTCAGCAACAGCGTGGAGTCTCAGGAGGTCAAGGGCTTCAAGCCATATGTTGTTTCAGCATTTGAGGGCCACTCTACTGATACTAAAATCACGGGCATGCGAAGTGACTAGGAAAAAAACTAATTGAGTCAATAGACAACTTTTCCTCTTTTAGCAAAAGTCTGCTGAATATTTTTTAGAGGAAAAAATAGCATTTTAGGAATAATAAGGAAATATTCTTGTAAGTTATCAAACCATGAATTCTAGGAAATCTTCAGAAGTTTGTTTAAATACAGAATTTTGTGAGGCACTTTTGATCACCCAGAGTTTGACTCTTCAGCGTGTGGGTTGTAATGTCCGTTGCTTTTCACCCAGTGCTACCTGCCCCTCAACGGTGGCTAGAGAGACCACCCATCTCAAACAGGAGGACAGGACTTCAGGGAGCATTTAAAAAATTAACCATATCCCTCCCTCCTCTCATTCTATTTTCCTTATCTTATTTTACCTTTGTCCAAGTTTATTCCACAATTAACTTGTGCCCTGTTATACAGAATGTATGTAACTATTAAAAGAATAATACATCCTTCAAATGAAAGTAGGGTAAAAATGAATTACTAGGTAAACAACAGACTGACAGGCACACAATAATTCTGACCAGTGGAAAATTTTAGATGGTCTCCTTTTGCTAGAAAACCCTACAGTAGTCAAGAGATAACAGTATATAGGAGAAGGAAAGTCTCACCAGAACAGAAAACGCTCTTGGAATCGATCTTCACCTTTCCCATAATTCCTGACAGGAAATCAGGCCAGGCTAACACGTTTCCTTTACTGAGTTCCTCTGGGCATGAAGTAACCAATGATTTCACCTGAAAGTTTACAAACACATCTTTAGATCAACCTCACTTGTTTCATTAAGACAATGTTATATTAATTTGGTCCTATTAAAAACATTTGCAGATTTTGGGAGGTGGGGTGGAGGGAAGCAGGCTTTTGTATGGAATGATTTCAGGGCAATAGGAAAGTTCTTTTCCCTCTTTCTCTCTCTTCCACCCCCATCATTGCCTTTACCGAATGTTTCAAGGTTGCTGGAAATTCTGAATTCTATGCAAAGGAATTGTCTAAACCTTTGCAGTTTGTTAAGGTGTTGGAAAGGTCTCCCCTTTCCACTCTCCTGTCTTCTATCTCTGATCTAAACTTGAGGAAATTAAGGTTCAGGCAAGCTCTACCACTGAGATAACATTTATAGCAAACATTTATTAAGCCCTTACTGTGTGCCAACACCACCACCATTATACATGCAGGGTTATGTTCAATCCTGCCCAAGCCCCGTTACGCAGGTCTGTTGATTTATCTTTCATAGATAAGAAAACTGAAGCTTAGAGGGAATGATATGTTCAAAACTACCACTGTGAGTTCGTCATAAAACTGGGATTTGAACGCGGGCCAGACCTGCCGACTGGCTTTAACCACTAAGCTTGTCTTTTTATTCTCTGTGTTATGATCTTGTGCCAGCCTTAAATTTCTTCATCTTTAGTCAGAGGGTTTTGAAATATTATACTCTATGATTCTTTCCAGCTCTGAAATGACAAGCTTTAATAAAGTCATCATGTCCAATAAAATATTAAAACATCACCAAGCAACTGAAAAGTAGATGGATTGAAAGCTACCACAGATAACCTCTGCCTGGCTTAGCCTATGACCATAGCATCAAATGGGATTGGTTCTAAATTCCGAAAACCCAGAGGTTGCAATAAGATATGGCATCATTAGGCTGTTCACATTTTTACTAGGTTTGTACCTTTGTATCTCATTACTGTCATACACTGAAAATGGAATTGACCTGCTGTGGAGACAGGACATAGTCCCAGAGGTTGAGCTGGCTTATGGAGCCCACAAAAGACTCAGCTGGGTTGAATCCCTCTCCTTTTTTGTCTTGCTCTTGCCCAAGAACTAATGCACCACCACCTGAAGAGAGAAGAAGAGAAAAAAGGAGGAAAACTGGCCTGATTATCTGTTATTCCTAAAATGCTAACTTAATGAGAGCACAGTCAATATAAATGTATCAGGGACAATTACTGAAAAGCAAAATTATTTACATTTACTGCATTGTTTCATCAATAAGGACAAATTCATTGTTTTATATAGCAACTTAAAAAATAGTTGGAGGGGATTTAGACTATTATAATGGATTTATATAAATATTTGACAACATCTATATGTATACGTGTATATGCATATAATATTTTGCCAACAGAATAGGTAAGTCCTATTTTTCCCCCATTCTTCTAGGAAATTACCCTCCATGACAGACTACCAGTTGCTGCTCTTTATCTTCTTATTCTTAAGCCTACAAAGCTTAAATTTTTGCCACTAATTCCAAGGAATGCTCTAGTTGCAAGTGACTGCCTAATTGCCAAATGTAATGGAAATTTTTCAATATTCCCCTCTGGTGAGTTCTCTGTTTCATCTGTTTCTACTGACCACTTCATTCTATTAAAGCGTCCTTCCTGGCACACTGGATGGTCTGTGTCTGTCCCTCCAGAGCTACCCTTCACCCACCTACACTCTGCTTTGTGCCCCCCATGGTTGACACCTGTGGACTGCACCACCTGGTTTCCTTCTCCCTCTGGTTTGTTTGTGTCTGGCCAACGGAAGGACCAACCTGAGGTGGGAAAGTGGGATGATGGAGAAGTTTAATTTCCTGGACTCTTCCTCCCAGGCAACAGATGTAGTGGCTGCTTTCCCCTGTCTAACATCATTGTTCTTGCTGGGTGATTTCTCTCCATCACTACAGGTTTGCCTAAATTCTGGCAACAACTCCCACTTTTTGTCACTTTAGGCCCCTCCCTCATGATTTTCCATTGTTGCTGGTCATGGGTTATTTTACTATCATATTTTGGTTCTCTTAACCCTGCTCATACCTTTGAAAATAGTCCCTTCATTAACCTCTTTAGTTACCCTCCTTCTGTGTGCCACCTGTTTCCTGCCAGGAGCCTGACTGATTCCACTTGGTTTCCATGACAGCATCCTCTCCTGGTTCTGCTGGAACCTTTATGCTCATGCTCAGTCTCCATTCTCTGCCCCTTAGATGCTGATGTGCCCAGGAGTCCACACTGGCCTCCCCTCTTCTTCCTTCAACTGCTCTATCTGATCTCACTCACCTGCCAATCAATATCTGTAGATCCCTCCTTCATGATTTCCCAACCTATAACTTTTTCTTATAAAATTAACAATGAAAATTAATACATACACATGGAAGGAAAATTGAAAAAAAAAATGAGACAAAGAACTCTTCCTACCCAGAAATAATCATTTAACAGTTTCGTGGATTTCCTGCTAGTTTCAAAAAAAATTTTATTATTATATTTTTAGTGTGTGTGTGTGTGTGTGTGTGTGTGTGTGTGTGTGTGTGTGTGTGCGCTATAAATGCACAACTCAGGATCATGCTATATATGAGGTTTGAATCTTGCTTTTCTTCTTGAACATGTTTTCATTTCATGAGTTTTAATAACTATCTTATCATATGAATATACAATCCATAATTTGCTTAATTAATTAATTAAACCACCACTTCTTACTGGATACACTGAAATAAATACATTGATACATAAATATTTGATTCTTGGTAGTTGAATTGTTGGTTGCATCCAAAGGATTTCTCTAAGGCTCTTGATGAAAGTTTTTAAATTGCTTCCTAGAAAGCCTGTGTCAATTTTCACACTTGGCCAGAACTCTAGAAGAGTGTCCACCATGCTGAATCCATGCTAATGATAACTTAGCACTAAAAATTACTTTGTCAATTTGATATAAAGTTGTCTCACCCTATGGTTTTAGCTGCGTTTTTCCTGTGATTAGAATTTAAACTCATTATGTCTAAAACCAAATACAGAATCACCCCCCACAACCCCTGCTCTGATAGTTGTGCTTTCCCTAGAATTCCTATCTTAGTTTATAGACTCTTCAATAAGCCCGGTCATCCAAACTGAATCCAGTTATTCATCAAGCTCGGTCAATTGAGCTTTGCAATATTAAGGACCACTAATTCTTTCTTACTCCTGTGGTCAGACGACCATCTCGTTGGGTGGCTACTATTACAGTTTCCTTGTATTTTTTTCCTATTCGTTCAACCTACCTTTCACTCTTCTATAAGGGTTTAATTTTTTATAGATAGAAATGCTTTTTTGAACCCTAAATGAAATGTATGTTCATTATGAAAATATCAGAAAAGAATAAAGAAAATAAAAGTCAACTGCAATCCCAGCACCCAGAGAAAACATAATTGAAAATAAGAACACTCTAAATTAAACACAAAAAATGCCCACCATCTCACTTCACCTGGTAATGCCACTTCCTGTTGCAATACTTGTTTCCATATTTACTACAGGAAACTGCCAACCATTCTTCCTCCTATGACATAGGCTATAGAAGAATCTAGATAGAGCAAGCTTATTACCATGTACAATTCTGAGAGCTCTGAATTACCCAAGAATGTTGCATTCCTTCAAACTAAAATTCTATGAATATTTTCCTAAAAGTATTTTTAGAAGGGAGTTTGAGTTCTATTGGGAAAAGAGCATAAAAGACAGATAGCTTTTAGGAGTGCTCTGGCTTGTACAGGTATAATGGATATACTTGTAAACTGTGTATACTGATCACAAAAGAAAACCAACCAACAAAAACCCCAGCAATTAATCTCCTCTTTGGTAGGCCATTCAGTAAGTACCCATTGTTAGTTCAGCGTGTCTCTTAGTAGTCTTAATGAAGACCCAAAAGGCATTTCTTACAGAGAGTCACACAGCTCACCTAGGAAAAGTTTCTAATAATTTAAAGTCTGGATAATCAAGGGGTAGTAAATAAAAGAAATAACTATTGATCTTTGTCTAAAACCAAAGACAACACAGCTAGCAAATTTGATGTTCACCTCAGCACCACAACTTCTACTGTCTAATCAAATTTTATTCCTTTTGCAAAGACATACCAGGTATGGCTGCACCAACAGAGAGGCCCAGACCACCATCAGATAATTTCCCATCAATATAGACTTTCCAGGCTCCATCAGTGCTTGTCCAGGTGATTGCAATATGATGCCAATGGCCGTCATTCACAGAGGGACAGTCGGTTATCTTTTCCTTGCCATTCACATAAAGAACCCAGCTGTGGAAAGATTCCAGGGGACACAGTCATCAGCTATATGTTGTAATCCCATCTGTGGGACGATTTACTTTTTTTCTTTATTTCCCTTCTTTTTCTTTCTTTCTTTTTTTTGTGGGTAAAGCACTTCATATAAAACCATTACTTCTTTTTCTCCACTTGCTCATATTTCACAGAAGCAGACTTGATTTACTAATTACACTTTATGGTAGCTCGCTGAAATTTTGTTTTTGTTTCTTAGACACTGAGGGGTAGGAAACAGTCTTAGGATGAGCTGAGAGAAGTTGGCCCAATTTGAAACAATTCCGCAACTGTCTATTCCGGAGAGAGTGAGTAAAGAATGGAAGGAATGAGAGTTGTGCAAACATCAGATTGGCTGCTTTCCTCTAGAACGTATGTTCCTAAGACCAGGAAGAAACTTCAGAAAGTTAAGTTCCGTCTCTCGGTTGCCAAAGCAGTCACATGGCAGACAAAGTATGGGGATCCAAAGAAGCCAAGTTTGTTATGTGGAACTAAACAAAGGTGAGCAGCCACAAGGTGGTTCCAATAACCACGTCACTTGGGGAAATGTCAAAGATAATAAGCAGTTTAAAGTGAAATATCTTCAAAAGCAAATGGAGTGGACTCCCCAAAAGGGCATTGGTCCATCTGGCCCCCTAAGAAATGCTTACAACGTTATTGATTGTATTCCTTGGACTGTCTTTTTCTATCCCTGAGGCCATATTGCAATTACCAATTTGTATTTGGGGATTCCACTTCATAGTTGATGTAGAGGCCTGACCACCGCATTGTATTTCTGAAACTGATGTTGAATAATACTGTATGTCAACTATAATTATATATACATATAACCTCGGGACACGGAGTAGAGTGCGGGAACGGATTCAATGGAATTGTAATAGATAAGCATGATATCGGGGGTAGGAGGGCAGTGGATGGGGGGAGGGGGGTTGTTACTTTGTGAGGGTGAAAAGGGTAACTATTGCATTGTTCTGTACACCTGAAACTAACAAAAAAAAATAAAAAAATTAAATAAATAAATTTTAAAAAAAAGCAAATAGAGAAAAAGATTAGGGAAAATTAATAAGGAAGATAAGAATTCATTAAATACCTCTCTCCCAGCTTCTTCTCAGTCCCTATTCAAAGATCTTTATGATGACATTATATTTTTATTATATTGTTTCCCCTCTGTGTTTTCCCATTATCCTCCTATTCATGTAGGCAATGGATTCTTTCTACATATTTCACCTCCAGGGAGGTTTTGCAAATTGCTTGGATTTTGTTTCTGAAAGCTCATGTCCACTAAAAAGAATAGGGTTTGAGGATGGGAAGATTTCCACCAGAATAGTGACAGTCCCATGGGTTGAGGAGAAGAAAGGGCTCAGTGGGTCTTTGAGGCATGCAATCTGCTCAGTAGCAATTGGCCACAAATTTGGGTGCATATGAGAGAAAAAGGCCCTGTGGTAAACCACAGAATCCATCTAGATGGAATGCATAAACCTCAGCCTTGCCAAGGATTCCACATGTGGCGAAGAGCAGTGGTCCTGAAGTGATCATAGAGCTCAGGCAATGGACAGCTCAGCAATGAGCAATGTGGACAGATGACCCGTGATGGAAGTCCTATCCAAGTCTGTGGATCTTCAGCAAAACTCTGTGGGTTTTAGATAATCTGTGAGAATATGAGATAGGAAAAGCCCTCAAAAGTGAAAGAAAGCAGAGAAACAACTGAGGTTGAGTGTCCTGACAGCCCACAGGGATGTAGCCCTGCACCTGGATTTCACTGACCCCTCCCCCCCCCAAAAAAAAAGAAAAGAAAAAAGAAAGAAATGTCATCTTGCACCTCTGAGTTTGTAGACTGATACCTATTCAATATTTGTGTATCCCATGGGTCAACAATGTTTCTGAAATCCCTTGACCTTGGGAGGCCCTGATGTGTGAAAGAAGGAGCACCAGTATTAAGAGCTTGAGACTTGACTCTTCCACTCCCAGAGTGTGAGATTTGGGGCAAATCATTCAGTTTCTTTAAAATTTGTCTTACTGTCTGTAAAAGGGGCACAAGTTCCTCAGGTCGTTGTGAAGATCAAATGAATTACTTAATACTTAGTAGTACTGAGTAAAATACCAAGAAAATACTTAGTAAATAGCAAAATACAATACAAGTATAAGGTGTTATCACTAACCTTTCCCTTCTTACAGAATCTGTCCATATGCTCTATTTGATGATTGTCACCCTGCTGTCCTACTGGAGCACCTGCCCCCTCCCCTTCCCAATATCAGTTCTAACATGGTCTTGGGATAAGAGCCAAAGCGCAGCCAAAGAGCCTGCCATTTCTGCTTACCCATTATAATCAGTCAGGAGGAAGGTATTATCACTGCCATTCTCGAGTGCATAGGAGATTGGCGTTCCATAGTTGTTGCTATCAGAGGACTTCATCCAGAATGTGCAGGTGACAGCACGGAGAGTTGGAAGCACGCCATCTAGCATGACGTAACCGTAAGTACCAGACACTTCAAAATCCAGGTTAAAACCCATAGACTGTTCTGCAACAAATAAGAAAAGTGTGCAGATCATGGCACTTGCGAGGCATTTTCCAATTGTCTAAGGCAAGCAGCGGGTACGCAGGACTATTGTCAAGGAAGCCATTTCGTTAAATATGGTGATCTGAGAAGTAGTCTCAAAATGAAATACATACGATTTACAAAATATAAAACACATTCTTTTAAATGAAATAATCAGTGAGTATCTAAGGTTGGAAAAGGACTCAGTAGTGAAAGGAAGTAGAGGAACAGGGAGTAGCTGGAAGGAGAAGCGGGATTGTGGAGTTACTGAAGATGAGAAGCACTAAATAAACATGGCTACATGCTGCTGGGGATGGGTCAGTAGAGGGGAGTAACTGATACATGAGGGAAGGTGGGGTGCCTGTCAGGGCACCATTCCGTCCCTACTCAGGCCTCTGGCTCTTCCCTATTTCATGATCAATACAGCTCTGCCCCAATCCTGCATATTTCACTCAATAAAACAAAAGTCCTACAGTTAAGACTCCAGCACCCTGAGAAAGCAGTTTTCACACTGACTCTCAAACATGCCTGTGGCCTCTGACCTAAATCAAGTGGTTTACCAAAGTATCCCTTCTAAATGTGTAGACTGTGAAGAGTTCTGCTACGTTCAATTTTCTCCATTCCCCACCTAAGTTTCAGTTTCCTCATTAGAGCTATTGTGGGTAAGATTACCTAGTGTATTGAATGGCTGTGAAGATGAAATAAGTACAAAATGCTTAGCATAGTTTTTTGTATATACACGTTGCTTGGTGCAGGCAAAAATCGATAGTTGTTGCATCACTGTTTTTAGTATTTTCCTTAATGACACTGAGATCATATATACCTGTTTCACACCTGCTGCCTGAAAATCCCGGCCGACATTTACAACTAAAGGAGTTTAATTTATCCACACAGGTGGCCTGATTTCTACATGGGTTAGACTGACATTCATTGATGTTCAATTCACAGAGTGGCCCTGTGAAGCCCGCTGCACACTGGCACCTGGAAGAGAACAAATGGAACAATTAGAACAGCTGTAGAAAGGCATTAGAGGGTGTCCCCATTTATGATAACTCATCTCCAAGGACTTTGAAAATTGAAATGCTGAAACACATCTTCCCCATCACAACATTGCTTTGACTATGCATCTTTTTTTTCCTCTAGTTCATCCAATTAAACCTATTTAAGGCAACATAGATTTGAAATGTTGTAGTCGCAAAACTAGAATAGAAAGTAGTTCTAGTCAAGGTGAAGTATTATTCACACATTGGTGCTAATTCTTATTAGCACCACAGAAATGCTAGGACAAAATATAAAAAGTTCACATGCTGTTCTAAAGGCTTGACATATATTGATCAATCTTTATGACAATGAGGCAATATTATTATTATTATTCTCATCTTACAGATGAGGAAAGTGTGACTCAGAAAGTCTCATTATTAAGTGGTAGAATAAAATTTTGAGTCATCCAGTGTCGTGTTCCTCATCAGTACGCCATCATCTCTGCTGTATACAGCACACCATTTAAACCCATCGGAATGGAAATGTACCTGATAGTGTCAAATACTGACAAGGGTGCTGTGAAATGGGAAATCTCATAGAGTGAGTAGAACACACTTTGGCAATGTCAGGGGAAGTGGAGAGTTTGCATTCCCAGAGCCCTGTCTACCCATTTCTAGTTATGTGGAGACTATTGCACAGGTGCACAAAGGCACAAGTAACAAATGTTCCCAGCCATGTCATTGTAAATGCTTATGGAGAGGAGAATGGGAAAATAAGGCATGGTATGGTAAAGCAATGGAATACTCATAAGCAGTTGAAATGAGTAAACTAGAGCCAAATGTATCAACCTTCATAATACATAATGTTGAGTGAAAAAAAACACAACAAAAAACAAATCACAAAAGGGTATATATATATCGGGGGTGCCAAAAACATGGATACAAGTGGACATGTTGGTCAATGTTGCTCAAGCAGTAGTTCGCCATAATCAGAAGTGTCTGGACACTGCCGGTAACTACTCTGAGCACCTCTTGTAATTGCAGAGGTCAAACGTGACTTGTATTCTTCATCTTTTGTTATCAGTCTATATTGAGTATTACAATTTTAATACGGTTTTCCTTTCTTAAAATGTATACACATGTTTTTGGCCCCCTCTGTATATAGCATAGTGCAACTTATGTAACATGTGAAATAATACTGTGTACTGTTTATGGAGTTTTATATGTAGTAAAATATAAAGTCTGAATGAGAAAGGTATACACCAACTTTAGGACAGTGGTTACCACTGGGGAAGAAGAGGAATGTGTGTGTGTGCGCGCGCGCGCGCGCATTGGACAGACCCCAAATCTACCTTTAGAACTTATTCTTTACAACAAAAGATATATATCAAATATGGCAAAATGCTAAGGTTTGATCACTACTGTGCCGAGTGCATGAGTTTTATTATTTTTTGTAATTTTCTGTATTTCTAAAATATTTTTTGACTAAAAAGGACCTGTTCAATAAATGTCAGTTACTATTGGTACTAACACATTTATATAAGAAACTCGTTGATATCGGCCTAAGGTGATTAATATGAAATAAATGGTTTTGGAGGGTTTAAAAGAAAATCTGTTAGAATCGGAGGGGATCTTTACTGAGTTCTCTGCTTTTAATGGTAAGTCTGTTTTGGCTAGAATTTCACTTATCTTTATCCTCCCATGTTTGATATCATTATAGAAACCCAATAACCTTGTTTGTGAAATAGGTTCACTTTGGTGACAACTAACATGCCTTTCAAATTAGGAGACTTTACTTTTACCTTCCCTCTAGTTAGGATTTCGACAAATTTTGTATGAATCAATTGTTTTGGATCCTGGAGAGAATTTGGAACTTGGCTGTTCATCTGAAAGTTTCTTATTGCCTATGGTTAGGTGTTATATGCAGAAGATGTAAAAAGCCTATGATGTCACGCTGATAAGACAATTTCCACATTGAGAGTGAAAATCTCATTGGCCGAATTGGCTTCCTATTTCTTCTGGATAGGACTTTGGCTATTTGTTGGGGGTCAGTAATGGAAGGGGGCTAAACCAGGAGGCGGCTGGGAAATGTTACAACTGGGGTGGACTTTTTTTCCTTTTAACTTATCTAACTAGTGGTATGTTGAGGACAATAAAGTTTCCTAAGATTCTGCAAGCAAAACTGGTCTGTCTTTTGTACCGCAGAAGCCACAAATCCTGCAAGGGGAAGGGGACAGGATAGGGCTGACTTGATAGTGATAAAGGAGAGTGTTGGTTCTCAAACTGTATTCTACTGGCATCCTAAGAGCTGCCTCAGGAACAACAAGTCTTTCTCCCCCAGAAACACTACTATTTTCAACTACAAAAGCTTAGTTAGCCTTTATTATTTTATTTGATTACATTCATATCAGATTTCTTTTGAATCAAGGGTTACTAAACTAAAAAAATGTTGGAAAACTATGGACGTAGAATGTAGACTGTGACAGTATGATTGCACAGTTCCCTTTGACTTTAGCTAGTGTGAAAATTTCAGCTAAAAATATAAAAGATTTACAAATGAGTTTTGTCTAGTGCTTCTGTATTGGCTTCTTGTGGAATTGGGCTTCCTTTCATCTTTTATGCCTCTCACATCCACCGGCCCTCTGTATCTGTGGGTGCCTCATCTGCAGATTCAAATTCAATCAACCACAGGTCGAAATATTTGAAAATATTCTTTAAAAATGTTATGTTGTTGCTGACACGTATTAGTTAGGCGAACCATGGTTGATGGCCTGTACTGAATATGCCCAGATATTTTTCTTGTCATTATTCCCTAAACAATACAGTATAATGACAACTTACATGGCATTTACATTGCAATAGGTATTGTAAGTAATTTAGAGATGGTTTAAAGTCTATAGGAGGGTGTGCATAGGTGATATGCAAGTACTATGCCACTTTATATAAAGAACTTGGGCATCTGTGGATATTGGTATCCATGGGGGTCCTGGAACCAATTCCCCCCTGATACTAAGGGATGACTCTAGAGAACAGTGGTTCCCAAATCCGGCTGTGCATCAGAATCATTGGGGGATTTATATCATACAGGTTGTCTATTTTAAAATTACAGACTTAGTAAATCAGAACCTCAGGTTGTTGGGAGATTCTACTGTAGCCTATCATTGGGCTAGGATTTGGAAATGGTGGACTTGGAACTCCATCAAGATTGCAGAATGACTGAACATTTAAGTAAATAAAAATAGTAGAAAGAACAAGACTTAGTCCTTTACCTGAACCTATTGGCACCATCTTTACAGGTGGCTCCATTTTTGCATGGTTGACTGAGACACTCGTCCATGTTTTTTTCACACCGGGTACCCCAAAATCCAGGTGGGCATTTGCACAAGAACCTCCCAACCTGATCTTCACAGATGGCATTATTTAAGCATGGGCTTGACTGACATTCGTTGACTTCTGTTTCACAATGCAGGCCTGGGGATGGGTGAGGACAAGAAAGAGCGCAAATGTTAACCCCCTGGGGAAATTGTGTTTAAAATATTCACTTCTTAGAGGACACTGCTTCTAAATGGAGGCTGCAGAGCCAATGGCCTATGAAACTGGTTTGAGATCCATTCTTTAATGAGTTCTGGCTTTTATAAGTCATTTTAGAATTGCATTTTGATTATCTGCTCTTTCTAACTTATGTCTTTCTGAAACTAACATTAGTAATAGACATCTAATTTAGATAATGTTAAAATATAAAACTAGCAAATTTAGTTCAAAATTTTCTTCTGTTTCTTTGACCTTTCCTCTTCCCTTCACTGTCCATTTTTTTTTGGACATGCTCTTTATCAATTAAATATATATATATATATTTTTTTTCTATAATATTTAACCATATTATTTAGCATCCATTTGCTATATTATCTTATATAACTTATCTCTAGCTCCTTCTCAAATGTTTGTCTTAGCATATAAACTCGACTTCTCTCTCTTTCTCTCTGTCTCTCTATAAATACACACTACACACAAAGATATTTTTTCTGAACTATTTTAATAGAGTAAATTGCAGATGTGATGCCCTTTTACCTCTAAATACTTCAGTGAGAACGTCCTTAAAAATAAGGACTTTCTCTTATATACTCATAGCACATTTAGAAAACCAGAAAGTTAACATATATAATGTTAGTAAATGTAATAATCTGTGGTGTTTATAGGACTTTTAGACAATGTAGGCAGAATGGAAACATCTTACCTATGTATCCTTTCACACACGTGCAGTGATAGCCAGCCAAGCCATCAACGCAAGTTCCTTTATTTAAACAAGGACTGGAAATACACTCATTTATATTTTCTTCACATAGTTGACCTGCAAAGAATCATAGTATATTTAAGTTGGAGAAAACCTGGAAGGACTTTAAGACTAGCTGTTTTCAAGCAAGTTGTTCAGGTGTAAGAGCAGAACAATTGGAAATCATGGCTAACATGTTTGTGAAAACTTCTGCTCTTTGCCAAATACATTGAAATAACATGTTTTCTTCCATTCTGCAAATGGTGAAAATTTTCTAGTGAGAAATGTGATATTTTCAGCATGCAATGGAAAATGACAACCATGAATATGTAGCCATTTTTTAGTTAAGAAGTTGTGATTTTGTTTTAAAATTTTTTATCATATTGTTTATTTTTATTAAGTTTATTGGGGTGACAATGGCTAGTAAAATTATATAGGTTTCAAGTGTACATTTCTATAATACATCATCTATATATATCGCATTTGTGTGTGCAGCACCCACAGTCAGTTCTTCCATCATGATATACTCGTATTTGTTTGCTAGACTTTCGCCCCTCTTTGAGTTTATCCCTTGAGTTTTTAACATGACTTATTTATCTACTAATTGCAGGTGTGTACCCCTTAGCAACATATCCTCAATACCTCCACCCACCAGCCTCTGGCAACCATCATTCAGTACTCTGTTTCTATGAGTTTGGCTTTTTCAGATTCCACATATAAGTGCAATTGTACAGTATAAATCTTTCTCTGTCTGACTTATCTCACTTAGCATAATGTCCACAACTTTCATTTATGTTGTTGCAAATGGCAGGATTTCCTTCTTTTTTTTATGGCTAACTAATATTCCATATATATATTCCATATATATATATATATATATATATATGGAATATATATAGTTTTTTTTTCTTTTCTTTATCCATCCATCCCTTGGTATACACTTAGGTTGTTTCCATATCTTGGCTATTGTGAATAATGCTGCAATGAATCACAGGGCTATAGATATCTCTTTGACATAGTGATTTTATTTCTTGGATAGATACCCAGAAATGCGATTGCTGTATCATATGGTAGTTCTATTTTTAATTTTTTGAGGAACCTCCATGCTGTTTTCCACAGTGGCTATACCAGTTTGCATTCCCACCAACAGTGCACAAGGGTTCCCTTTTCTCCATGTCATGTCCAACACTGTTATCTATCTTTTGATAACTCATTCTAACACGCGTGAGGAGATAGTGCATTGTGGTTTTGATTTTCAGCAATGAAATTTTCATGACTCCAAGGTTTATATTGTAAAAACAAGAAATTTTCCCCTCACCTGTGTAACCAGATGGGCATTCACAAAGGAATTTCCCAACTTGGTCTTTACAAATTCCATTGTTGAGGCAAGGCAGTGAGCTGCATTCATTAACGTCTACTTCACACTTTAGGCCTAAAATGCAAATCAAACACTGAAGGACAATCAAAGAGCGGGATTAAGAGAAACAGAATCATGATCATTAAAAAGCAGTCACCCCAATAATGGTTTATAAGAAAAAAACCAGTATTTGTTAATTCTACTGTCTAGTTAAGTATTTAATAAAGGCACTTTCTAAACAGATTCAAGATATCCTTATAAGGCTACATAAAAGATAGCAAAGATCCCAATTTAGAAGATGGGGGGTGGGGAGGGAAACCTGGAAGCATAAAATAAATGCAAGAATTCAGTTAATTCCAAAGTGAAAAATATAAAGTCAAATATACTTGCTACCAAGGTCACTTGGGTGAAGGGTAGGGGCGGGGCTACATCCTACCAGGTCTCAACTCATATGGCAGGTGTCCCAGAGTGGGACTGCTTCTTCCCTAGGGTACACACAGGGTATCTATGGGTTAGCTCTACCAGAAACCGTGTTCTTCTTCTATACTGTGGGTCTCAAAGCGTGACCCCTGGACCAATAGCATCAGCATCATCTGGGAACTTGATAAAAATGCAAATTCTCACACCTTCCCCAAGCCTATTGAATCAGAAATTCTGGGGGTAGTGGTCCAGCAATCTGTGTTTCAACAAGCCCTCTAGATAATTCTGATGCACATTAATATTTGGGAACCACTGTCCTACATTACGTTTTTTCTCAACTACCACTCATTTTTAAAACGCTAGGACAAGCTCCATTATTTCTTATGAAATGTGATGACAAAGGTTTTTATAAAAATTGAAACATGTGCGTGCATGCACACACATGAGCAAGCTATAATAAGTGGAATGCGAATATTCTTGGTAGCCCAGAGCTATATTTTGTTTTCCTACTTTCCTTTTGTTTATTTTGTGGTGAATTCTTTTACTTTTTCCTCATTAACAACATTTTCATGTTGTTTGCACAAAATTTGGCAAAATATAAAAACTTAATTTCTAGAAGAAAACAGATTGTAAATAAATTGCAATTATTAAGATATAGTTCATTTCCCCTCAAAAAATTATGTTTCTGGACAGAACTGGAATGCAAACCAAACTGCAAAAAAACTTAATTCTTACATAATTCCTACATAATCAAGTCCAAAGCCACAGTGTTTTTCTAAGCCCAACTTCTAGAAAAAAGGAAACAGAACAACAAATCACAGCTATTCACAAGAACCTCCACTAGTATGAAGCAAATAAGGGAAACTGGCGTTTGTTTAAAAATGTTTATGCTGAACAATCTGTTCTATGTTGAGTGTCATGCATTTAATTTGTGTTACAGTGAAACCTTGGACATGGCCTATGGAACTGTATCCCAGTTTAAATTGTAAGTTATGATGTGACCTTTACACAGAAAACAAAATTCTCAGTTCTTCCTCTAAAATGTGCAAAGAAAACTTTCATTTGTAAGATATGTATACTTTTTTCCACCTGTTGGTTTACCTTGTTCAGCCAAATTTTTGTGCATTGATATAGCCTAATGCATCTTAAAGAGTTTCTTTTTAATGTTCCAAAGTTCGATACATAAGTCGCAATGAGTTCCTATGAAAAATATATTAAATTTGAATTTTTCTATGTTACCTGTATATCCAGGTGGACAGAGACAAATGTAACCACGCCCAAGTTGTTGGCAGGTTCCACTGTTGTGGCAGGGGTTTAAGAAGCATTCATGGAAAACCTGCTAATGGCCGAAAAGGAATCTTTCAGAGACAAAACACTCCATTCATTTCAAAGCAATCCTGATTAGGCAGTTAGGTTTGCAACATTAGACAGCTGGTTCCTGTTTCCAGGTGAGTTCACTCAAGCTAACTGGACTGCTGCCGGAATAGGGCTAGTGCCGGCCATATATGGGCACAGATGATATATATATTATTCTTAAGTGAAGTTCTGGTAAACCCAAGCACTGTTTCTAAACACTGGCTGTGTTTAGCATCCATTTGAGGTGTTTTAAAAGTATACTAAGGACTGGTCCCAACCCAGACCAGCTAACTCAGCATCTCTGGGAGTATGATCTGTGCATCATTATTTTGAAACGTCAACAAGCAGATTCCAATATGTCTCCAGGGTCGATAGTTACAGCTCTAGAATTGCTTATAAATTTCTGTGTCCACTAGGCTTAGTTTCAAATATGACTTAAGAAGCCCTTACAAGTCAGTATGTTTGGACAAAGCTGAAGGAAGTTGAAATAATAAAACCTCATGACCCTCCTTAAAAATATTTAAAGCTAAGGAATTTATCATGACATTGGGCAAGATGAATGCAGAGTAATGGCTGAGTCTACCAGATTTAGCACTAATCATTACTCTTGATTAGTATTTTTAAAAAATAAATGGAAAACAATTAATTTAGCTATGTTCATGAGTTATGCTTAATTTTTTTAAACCCACACCTTACTGCAATAAATGATTTTTTTTCTTTGCAGACATAAAAATTTAAAATAATTTTCATGAAAGTTGAGTAAATCTTCCTGCCAATCAGAAAAGGCCTTTGGCTAATCCAAACGCCCTTACTCAAATGATGGGTTATGGCTGTGGTAAGTTAATTATTAGTGAATTCCCACATCTACACATTCTCTATGCCAGACATTGCTGGGAAAAAAA